TTTTGCATTCGTTTTGATTTTTAGAATCGATTTCGCAAATATATTCGCAATAAAATGTATATATCTAGTTACGATTAAAAGGATAAATGTAAATACAAAAAGGAAGAAATACATTCAATCTCAATTTACAGGAATTTTTCGATCGAATTTTAAAAATTCCCGAGGTGAATTCCAACGGGAATTACCGTCAAATCTCGAAATTAAGCAGCACGAGTTGACAAATTAACGGGATATGCTTTGAATAAACAGATTCGATCAAATGGAAAATACACAGCCCGTACGAATTCGATTCTGACACGAATATCGCGTCAATATGATCACGAAGAGGCAGAGTATCGAATAGATTCGAAATACGGGATTTGCTCCTTTGAATGTGTTCGACAATGATAATTAAATCCCCGTGCGACCAGGAGGGCATATTAAACGAGCAAGTATCGATTAGAGTCGACAACGAACAAACGAATTTTTTTTGCGAAAGATTTATTTATTGAAATGAATAATGCGACAATCTATGTGATAACGTTAACATATTAATCGTGAATATTACTAGTTTCTGTACAATTAGATCATTTTGTAATAATGTAAATAATGTAATAGTTTCTTTTTCCCTTTTGAAAAGTTTTATATTAAATTTCGCGCGAAATTTTTCATTTAAACGGAAATTTCAAATATACAATTTTACTCGCAAAAAAATTTCAAACGCGAAAAATAAAAAAAGTTGCTCTTTCGTGTTTTTTTATATATATCTTTCAAATAAAGAAAAATTATTTTGTTATTTTTAAAATCAATTTTATCGTTAATAGAATCGTGGAAATATTTTTCGAAACGTGTTTATAACATAGATAGAATTAACAAACATGGACATGAAAATACGATAGTGGTACAGGAGAAATTTAAGAAAAAATAATCTCACGATAGTCGTGAAAATTATACAACAATTCTCACGAAAGTTGAGTGTGTCGAGGGATTCGAAACAGTTGAGAAGAAACAAGAGTTATTCAACTTTCCTGAATTGCAAAAAGAAGCATGAAAGAAGCATCGCCTGGAACACGTTGTTGTTGTTGTCGTTGTCGTAGGCAACGTAGGAGGAGAACGTGTGAAAAGGCAACGACCGATTTTGCATTCGTAAAAATAAATGACAATATGAAGGGAGAGAGAGAGAGAGAGGAAGGGGGGGGAGAGCACACTCAGAATAGAATGGATTTTTCTATCGTTGGTGAGAGAAGAGCAATCCAATCAACGGGGACAAAGAGCGCGAAAGTGAAAGGGTGGAGGCGGAAAATGCTGCTTTTAATGCGCTCCTCCGCGTCGAGAGTTCTCACAAGCACGCCGATTGAACTGTTATCCGATACAACAACGAGCGTTGTTGTGCAACTCGTGAAATGAGAAAAAAGTTTTCTTCACGAGGGAAGGGAGGAAATCACTATCTTGAAAATATGGGTCGCGTTACGAAAAAATATACTTTGAAACGTTGGATAAGAAAATTTACAAAGAATTTCCAAGTATTTCCAACCTCAAAGATCATCGTTATTGTTATTATAACAGAGGAAAAAATATTTTGAGAAGAATGTATAAGCGGATGTATAAGATTTTGATTGAATTTCTACAGTATTTAAATATTTATTTTCAATCGTTTTCCTTTAACGTGTTCCTTTAAAATCGGCAAAATTGCTTTGAAACTAAATAATGCTTTCAACGTTTTCACGGATCGTTAAAAGCGAGGGATCTTTGAAACGTTTTTTTCGAATGGATAGTTATTGTCGTGTAAAGAAAAGGAAATCATAAATTATACACACCTGTTCCAAGACTTGGAAATAAAATAAACGTAAAATAAGGAATAACTTTGACGTGATCATTTATGTAATCAATCAATTGAACAATGAAACATGTTCGGATCTCAGGCAGCGCAAATAACGAGATATACGTCGTATTCGCCGTAATGAAGAAATGTGGCCGAATGAAAAGTGATCTTGTTTGTCGGATCAAGAAGGCAAATAAAATTCTTGGTCGAGCGAAATGAGAGCTCGTTCCCGGCCCTACAGCTTTAACTCTTGTATTTAATTTAATCGACGTGTCTTGAGGTCGACCTCCTTTCAACGACCATCCCAATCATTCCTACCGAGATGCGTTAAGAAACACTGCCTCGTCCACCTACCCACGTTGCAATTTCGAGGAAAACGAATCCGTTTTTTTTCTTCATTTCTCTTGTTGAGTTTTTAAATATTTCGCGGATGAACAAATATTTAATACCTCCTCCTCGATGCTTTTTTCCCACCGTGATCGAAATCATTCTCGAACGATTGTTTTATTACAAAATTTTCCACGAATAATTGGAAATAATAATAATAATAATAATAATAATTTACACGACGCACGGATTTGGGGGATTCGAGGGATGGTAGAAGAGGGATTGGTAAGAATAATATCTCTCGTGAAAAATATACTTCTTCCAGAAGTAGTATATCTTTAATCGGCTTCGCGACAAGTAAGAGCAATTCGGTTCTTTGCCCTCGTCGACCCGTATCTGCCCTCCCACACGCACGGAAGATCGCTGCTAATTAAGAATTGGCGAATTCAGTCACGAAACGACGACGCGCTATAAAGACATTGTGGATTCAAAGGAGAAAATGATGTCAGTCTGGAAGGTAATTACGCGCTATAGCGGTCAGTTGCTTAAGGCCATGGACTATGGCCTCCCCGGGTATGGAGAATTCTATTTACGAGTGAATACAGCGTGAAGCATAAAATATATTATACAACCACGAGAAAATATTATTATTACTTTATCTCTCGAAATTATTATCTCTTTTCTAAAAATAATTCTAATAAAAATCCTCCTTTCGAAGAGGAAGACTTTTCCTCAACGTCGCCATTCCGAGCATCGTCGAGAAAAATGGATTTAAAAGGAGGAAAATATCAATTTTGCGAATCAAGAAATTTTTGCGACAAAAATCATCATCTCAAACTCGATTCGGATTATTCCTATGACTCATCGAAAACTTTGCAACCCTGGCATTATATCCCAGCCTGAATACAAACGAGCCAATAAATTTACATAAAAATTCGTCCCGCCGAATGTGGGGCGATAAACAAATTCTCCGGTTAACGCGCTCTGTTAACTCGAATAATTATCCTCATTCTATCTCGTTCATCCTTCCTTCTAACCTTACATTTCGAACAATCTAAAAAAAAAAAAAAAAAAGTTCAACTCTTTTTTCCACCCATTTTCCTAACACCCCTTTCTTAAAATACGAATCTCTGCTCGTGATAAATGCATTTTTATAGTAATTTATATAACCAGGCTTTAGATAAGAAATATTTAAACGAAGAAATGTTTTTTCGAAACAAAAGAACAAAGGACTCCAACACTGTCGGTTTGGAGTGTGGATATATAATCGTTATCTAAATGTAATCTAAATTAAACGAAGGAAGAGAGAGAGAGAGAGAGAGAGACGCGTCTATATAAGCTGTTCCCAGTTTTAATGAAGAAACTTTAAATTTATGCAAGAATACCTAGAACGAGTGAAAAGTTGAACGCATATGGTTAATGGAATGGAATACGTATATGATGGTCGTACGCATACAAAGCACGCTGAAATAATAATAATAACGTGGAACGTTTTACTGTTGCTACTATCGTTTACCAAATTTTCTCGCCGTTATCTCATATCGCAACCTGTTGTTCATTCATCAAATATGTCTTCGTGCTGTTATTTCGCATCGAGTGAAAAAAATTTAACCAGTGAAAGTGGAAGTATTCGATCGAGGTGTACTTTATTTAACGCTAGCTTCATCGATTAACGCATTTATAGATACCATTTGACTCGATCTTTTTAACCTTTTTTATCCTTTTTGCACGATATTCCAACATTCGTAATTTCTATCCGGAAATCTTTGATCTATCAACGTTCCTTGTTCAAACCCTTTACCCCGAAAACCAACACCGTTTTATGAACCGTTGCAAAGTCGAAATCGCGCGGAAACTCGTTACACGATCAGCTTCCATAAAACGTTTTCCAACTCGTTCTCCAACTTCCGCCCCGGTGGATTAAAGCGAGCACACGCGTTTATCCGTCTTCGAAGGGAGAATGGATCGCCGTGTGTCGGGCAAAAATTCATGCGTTACGAAACGGACGAATCGAAACGTTGGAAATTTTCCACCGAACTTTCGAGGCTGGCCCCGCGTTTTAAAAGTTTAACTTTCTACGACCGTCCTTTTTTCTCTCTCTCTTTTTTCTTCTCCCCCCCTCCCCCTCCCCCCTCGTATCATTTCCACGAGAGAACCGCAACGAAAATTTGCATCCGCTCTTCTGCACCGCTTGATTTTATTTTCACGATGGTTCCACGCTTGGACACGTGGGAATTTTTAAATGCGAGGATAGATTTTTGCTTCTCCTCTTGGGAAATATTTTTATTATTAATACAATAGAGAGAATGTTATTCTTCGATCAATCGGTACACGAAAAATTCTGAAACTCGATGCGCTCTTCTAAATGTATCTATTTTTCTCTTTTCTTTCCTTTTTATCTGTTAAACTTTTTCGCGCGTAACAGAAAATCGATCGTTCATTTTTGGCGAAAAATAATAGAAAGCTATCCGCGCGAGAAACCGTTCGAGAAGCATTCATCTTCGTTACGATTGATTGGATATCGACAAGGGCGATATTGAAAGGCGGCGTGATTAAAAATAGATATTAAACGTCGATAAAAACTTTGCAATGATATTTCAACGCGAATAATTTATTTTAATTAAAAAAAGGATGTAAGGAAAAAAAAGACAACGCATAAAAATGTAACAAAAATCCATAAAATTATAATACACGAAAGTTATAAAACATATTCGGCAAAAAAATCCTTTTTTTAAATACTTTCGATGAAAAACGTGGTGATTGAAAACTTAGGTGAGTCGAGAAACGTGTCTAATTACTTGGGCAAATAGCAGAAAACGAGTAACGAGTCATTAACGGGCGAGCGTAAATCGAATTTTAATTTTTGTTGCAGATTCCACGGGGAGATCAAACGAACGGCGAGAGATGACTGGAAGAAGAAGAGTGCCACTCGTGTCGAGAGTATGCACAGGTAAGCGCACACGTTACAAACCCATATACCTATTGATCGATTTGCATAATCCATTAACCGGTGAACGCGTAATGCGTATAATTCACGGAACAGCTCAAAGATCGAGGTCTTGGTTAAAATTTTTAACCTGTTCGAACAAGGTCACATTCGCCATATTTCTTCTTCCTCTCCTTAAAACCGTGTGTTACTTTTTTTCAATTTGATAAAACTGATAAATAATCGTTCAGATTACCATTACAAATTACTATTTTTGATCGTAATCAAGCGTCTTTGTCCTTACTTGACCATATTTTAAAAGGAAAATAAATGGTCACAAAGATTTTATCGTAACCTTTTTCAATTTGATAGAACTGATAAATAATCGTTCAACGTTCAGATTACTATTACAAATTATTATTTTTGATCGTAATCAAGCAGTCTTTGTCCTTACTTGACCATATTTTAAAAGGAAAATAAATGGTCACAAAGATTTCATCGTAACCTTTTTCAATTTGATAGAACTGATAAATAATCGTTCAACGTTCAGATTACAAATTACTATTTTTGATCGTAATCAAGCATCTTTGCGCTTACTTCACCATATTTTAAAACGAAATATACATCTGACGAGGAGGAAAATAAATGGCAAAGCGAAGGATTTCATCGTAACTTTCACACAGAACGCGCGTAACTATGGATACGGTGTGATGGTGTCCCGGTCGCAGTCGAGTGCAATCGCGTTGCATCGTTGCAAAGGTTGGTCATCGAGTGGGAGCCGTGCCACGCCGGCCATCATCGAGTACTGTTAGGATGCCGGGCTGAAACCGTAACACTTGCCTTGACAATACGAATTTACCGTTGCGTTCGATCCACGTCCAACTTTCCTCCTGGTACAGTGTAGTTGCATTCGCGCTGCCTTTTTACTTTCGCGAATTTGCCTTATTATGAACGCGAGACACAGTGTGACCACACTTTGTAAAACGCAATTATCGATATTAAATCGATCGCGAAGAAGCGGAGAAAATTACTAGCTTTTGCTTTTGCATACTAGAATTATATCGATAATTCTAATTTAAACGAGTTTTAATAATTGTTCTTTTTTTTAAATTAATGCTTGGAGCAAATTGATGTCGGTTTTTTGGACTCGATGAAAAAAGAGACACTTTCGGATAGAATTTTTGTATCGTTTTATGATACGTTGGGATAAATCTAGGATAGAATCGAAGGGAAGAAAAGATCGATCCGTGTATGAGTTATCGGTGTAAAAGAGAAAGAAAGAAAAAAAAAATAGTGATACCGAAATCGAAAGTCCTTTGTGCTCATTCATTGTGCACAAATTGAAATCGAAAGTTTCCTTTTAAGTTGGCCTTTCCAACCGAATTCGTGTTATTATATTACCGGATGATCCGTTCCGATCTGATGACTTCACGAAGAATTAACAAACCAAGGATCGAATCGATTAAAGAATTAGAAAGCGGAATTCTTTCTTGAACGCGCGGTACACGTAATTGGTTCAATTCTCGCGTTAATAAAGCCTTTCAACTGTTTTAAATTATGCTCATTAGAAGTGGAGTGTAAAATGTTCGATTCGCGTACCAGAAACGATATATAATTCAATCGCGTAACATAATTACAGAGATCTCGCGTATCTCGTTAAAAATAATTCACGTAGGCGTAACACACGTTTTTCCATTTAGTATTCCCAGCTTATTCGATATATCTTATTCTCGTTTCATTATTATTATTATTTTATCTCGAACGAGAATTGTGTTATTTCAAAAATTTGCTCGACAAAGAAAAGAAACAATCCGAAACACGGATTTCCAACGCGCGCGTAAACATCTCTTCCCAACAAAGACGAGAAAAACGAAAGAAAGAATAATACATATATTTCTTAAATAATTCCATTCACGGACTAGAACGAGTTCCCCTGCACGTTTCATTTCCAAGGAATCGTCCCATCCGAATCCTTCCTATTCAATTTGTATCGCATTGGAAGCGAAAATTTACCGAAAAGCGACGCTCGAGGGCGCCACGAGTGATCACGCGCAGCGACACAGCGAGCGCATAACCTAACTTTAGTTTCACGGGAGAGGTACGAGTGCGGATTTTCACGTAACCTGTCCGCATCGGTAGGGATCGCATACTTAAAATCCTGCGCATAATCTCGCGCTCTGTTTAACATTCGAAGAACACTCGTGCGAGGCGAACCACGGCGCATACGCATTTCTTCTTCTTTTTTTTTTTTTTTTTTCATCCGTCGCAACGCGTCGGGGAACTGGAACCGCGACACGGCGGAATCCATAAATCGGTTCTCGATTCCTGGCTGAGTAATTCCCGACCAACCGGTTTCTAGACCCATTAAAAGGATCGACCACGGCCCGACGTTTTTATTTCGTCCCGGCTGTGAGAAACCAGTCACCGTTGTCAATATATCCGTTCCTCCCAGTCGGGTGTTGGCGCGTGGTCGTATCCTTCGTATCGCGATTCTCGGTCACGCCGTCGGCCACGGTTTAACGATCGAACAATCGGCGACTCGTCACGGATTTACCGAATGTAGCGGTTCGCGTTGTCGAGGAGGATTAGCCTCGGTTAGACGTTCATTCAGAGGAACTGCTTGCTTCATCTTGAAACGAATATATAATAAACGCGAGTGAAGGGAGGAGTTTTGTAAATCGTTATTGATATTTGAGGATAATATAAATAAGCGTAAACATCTTTCGATCGCGAGGATGTTTAGATCGACGTTCGTAAAAGATGTTTAAAGTTAAAGGTAAAGTTATCAAGAACGAGAAACGAATAACTCGTTTTAAAATAACGTTGGGGTAAAAAAAGAGACAAGAGGCGAATATACTCGCGTAAAAGCGTTATGTACGTGTAAGCATAAAATCCCTATCCCCCCAGTTTCGTTCGATTCGTTATTGTTTTATTCTAATTCCTCTTTATCCCGTTTAATCCGGCTACGATAACCTATAAACGCGAATGTAATTACAGTTGTACGCGCGGCGTGCACGCGCATTACTGGTTTGATTTACGCAATCCCCTTTGATAAGGGGAATATGGAACGTTGGAAAAATGGACGCATCGAAATGTTCTGGTATTCGTGTTATTTGTGAAACAATCCAAGATGAAAATGGCAAGTTGGTATTTCGAATTCTTTTTTTTTTCTTGTCCTCGTCGTCATTTGATGAATAACAAATTTCCAAATTATATTCATCATCGATCGCGTATTTTACGTACGTTTTAGGTACGTTTTTCCTGCTGCTCTTCGCCACGATCGCCGCGAACACGACGAAAGATCCCCCGACGAAACTATCCACCCTGGACGTGGAATCCGATGCCACGATATCGGAGAGGAACGAAACGATCCCGAACAAAATAGGATCTCGGGGCACGGAATCGACAGGGATCAAAAACGAAGCCGTTGATCCTTTGAAACTCGACTCTAAAACTGGAAAACATCTGGAAAGCGTTGCGAAGGTCGATACGAAAGATGGGAAAGCGGAGAAGGAGGAGAAAGTGCCGATACCGTCCACTCACGAGGACGCGAAATTACAAGGAAGCAGGTCGTTCGATCAATTGGACAGGTCATCGAGCGGGGATTCGTCGATCGGATCCAAGCTCGAGGAGTTGATCTACGGGACGTCTGGAAAGAGTTCGAGCACGAGGACGTTGTCGGAGGACGTTCACAGATTGTCCAGGACGAATGGGTTGAGCACGGTTACCGCGAAGCCCGCGTCGGAGGAGGGGAAAACGGAGGAAAGGAGCGTCGAAGCGGAACGATCGAACGTCACCTCCTCGTCGAGCGAGATCCCGAGATCCTCGATGATCCTCCACCGACTCGATCCGGAAGGAGACGAGAGGGCGGAAGGAAGAAGGAGAGGAGCGAGGTGGTCGACTCGAGCCCGCAAAAAGTTCGTTTCCTGGAGGAGGAGGAGGAAGAGGTGAAGAAAGCGAGCAAGAACTCGGAAGTTGCGGGGTTGAAGGAGGAGGGCGGTGCTATCTCGTTGATCAACGACACGTACGTCAACTACAGCCATCGTTACAAAACGTCGACGGCCGAGCCGGTGGCCTCGAGTCTCGATTCCGAGAACGGGACCAACTTTATCACCGAGGAGAGCACCGTGGTGACTCATCATCCCAAGGAGGAGGTGGAGGTCGTCGGGAATGTGACTCAGCCCGCGATCCAGCGGATCGTCGAGCCGCGATCCCGAAACGCCACTTCCAAGGACCTGGCTGGCCTTGGCAACGAGTCGAGCGAAATCGGCTCGATTCGGAACGAGGACTATTCGACGAGCCAAGATCCCGCTACGAACGAGACCAGCCGCCGCTCCATCGAGATTCAACGAGAGCCGAGCGAAAAGAATCGGCGGCAGAAACTGGTGCAACTTGCCGCCACTGCCACCATCACCACCACCGCCGCCGCCGCCACCACCACCATTGCCGCCACCGAAGGAACGTTTCGCGAGGAATCTTCGACAACGTGGAGCCCGGTTCCTAGAGGAAGAACCATAGCGTTCGACATTTCGAACACGAGCGAGGAGGGGAAACCTTATCCCTACGCCAAGTCCTCGGCGAAGGAATCGGTTCCCGACTCGAGCAATCGTCTGTTGGAGATCACCACGGAGGAGGGTTCCGCGTTGGAGAACACGATCGGGCGGTCGGAGGAGAAGTTGATCGTGACGGAAGCGTCCGACGTGTTGGAGAACAGTATACAACAGTTGAAGCCGGCCTACCGCGACAAAGGATCGAGCAACGAGTCGTCCTCCACCCTGTCGAGCACCGCCACTCCGATCACCACCACCACCGTCGCGTCCGTTCCGAGGGAGTCGAGCGATCGGGTTGGGGAGCGAGGGATGGAGGAGAACTCGACGAGGGTCGGGAACGACGTTCCCAGGTGGAACGAGAGCCGCGAGACGATCTCTGGCGTGGACGTGACGGGGAACGGGATAACGGAGGTGAGCGCGAGGCCGGAAGAGTCTCGATCCGATAAACGGGCGTACGAGGTGGCCACTCGTGGCTACTCGGAGTCGCCGACCTCCTCCATCGACCCGTCCACGCGGCATCCCTCGATCGAAAGAAAATCTTCCATCGAGGATCTCGCCACCACGATCGAGCAAATCTTCGTGGCCAACGCCACCACCGAGTCCCCGGCTACCTCCGACGGAGCCAACGAGATCCCCTCCTCCTCCCTCGGCGGCCCTGCCAACCATCCGGACCACGATTTCGCGCCTACCACCGTGGCCGTCGAGTACGAGTTCGTCAGCCTCTCCGAGTCGACCGAACCTCCTCTTCGTCCTCGAAACGCCACGGAGGAGAGTGCAGAAGCTACCACTGTCACTCCTCCGCCCGAGGAGTCGGACGATCCCTCCTCCTCGACGAGCGAGGCCACGGATCGGACGTGGATCGTCACCACGTTCGTTCCGCCGAATTGGACGTCGAGGGACGAGGCGGCTATCGCCACGACGAGGGCGAGTCTAGTCGTCGAGGAGGGGATCGATGGGGTGGACGACGTCGCGAGAACGACCGAGCTCGCGGATTCTTGGACTCCCACCGGCGAGGATGAAGGGGAAGATGGAGTTGGGAGGACGATCTCGTTCGATTCGAAGGATACCCGTTTCGCGATCGGGAACGCGACCGAGCAACCCGCGCGATTCACCCCGATCGTGACGGATGGGACGGTGGCCGCCATTACCCCCTCCATTCCCGAACACTCGAGCACGAGTCCATCTGGCGTCCCATCCAGGAAATCGGATCACGCGTTGCCCGCTCGACAAGAGATCACGTGGTTGGTGCGCATCGTAATGGAAGGTGGCAGATACGACGTGTGCTCGAAGATGGACAAATTGAAGGCGATCCTGGCCGATATTCTGCAATCCGGAATGAACAAGTAAGCGCTGTGTAATATACTATTGTTCACACACCGTGGAAAGGAATGCATCTCCACTTTAGATCCACGCGATGGTGTAACTTTGGCGGAAGGGATCGTGCGTGTGATTCGAATCGGATGGAGACTTCTTTCTTTCTTGGTGAACGCTTTTTATCGCTTCGCGCTTAGCAGTGAGAATAATACACAGGTCTGTTTCCGATCGCAGATTGGTATCGCACGAGCAAATTATCCTCCATGAAAATCCGTGCCAGGAATCGTCGGATTCGATTCCGTCGTCATCGTCACCGTCCGATACGACGTCGATACTAGTTTACGTGGTGGACGAAAAGGGAAGGTTCGACACGAACATGACGAAAATTTTGCCCAGCTTGTACGAGGAGTCGCGAGATCGAATCACATTCCCGATTAAAGTAAGTTCATCTATGATTGGTTAATCGACGTTTCTTTTTTATATTTGTTTATTTAACCCTTCAACGAGTAGTTTTTCCAAAAGTTGTTTCGAAATTTTGTAACACGATTCTGTTCTCTTTTCCTTTCGTTCTGCGTAATTCTTCGCGTTCAAGCGTCACGAAGAATTCTGTAGTCTTTTCTCGCGTTTATATTTCTTTCTTTTCATCAATTATTTTTACCAATAATTTCTCTCTCGCGAATCTGGTACGATCCTTCTTTCGAGTGTTTCCATATTTAAACGAATAATATATAGTGACGCGTTTTGACTCGATTTTTGCACTCGTAGAAACTCGTAGTTTGCACGTAGTTCGATCGGTGAAAGATTGAGGAAAATTTTGCTCGAGTAGATAATTAATCGATGTACACGATTACGATACAGTTAACCTATTCCGCCGACTGACCCACTCTTTTCAGATTCAGAGATTTCTTCTGGTACAGGAAACGATTCCGGATTCCGGAAACGCAGTAGCGGTCATCGTGGTCTCCTCGGTTGCCTTGATTTGCCTGGTTCTTTTGGCCGGTCTTCTGGTAAAAATTTCTTTTATTTTTTTCCTCCGTTCAAATAAAATCCATCCGATGATTACTCGAATATTCGATGATATTCTATTATTGCGAAAAAGAAAGAATTTTCTTTTTTTTCAAAAATCGAAGTGAAAATTCTTTCTCTTGAATATTTATATTCTCTTGGAACGTAGAAAATAATAATAGAATAACATATTAAATATTTATACTTTCAAGTTTACAACTCTATATATATATATATATTTGAATGCAATTTTATCAAAAATATATTTGATCTTGTAAAGATTCATTTTTCGATCCATTTTTCCATAATTAATATCGCTTCTTTCATTTTATTAAGCGATCCACCGTCATTTCAGGACGGATGAATATCTCAATTTATTTTTTTATATCTATTTCGAGACTAAATTATTTTATCAACGCTTTTCATAATGCAAACGTAATTTCGATACACGCAATAGCAATTTTTTTTAAAACCTTACTTTAAAGGAGAGAAATCCCAATCCTTGAAGATTCTTTCGTTTATTTATTTAAAGATAATGCAAAAAGCAAGAAAACCCAGATGGAACTGTATTGAAAATATAAAAAAAGTGGATTGATTTCGAAAGAAAAATTGCTTCGCGTATATAATATAACCATTATTCTATTCGATCGTATATAAATTGTCAAATTCGTTGCACGCATACGTATGGGCTGGCACACTATTCGCACGAAACAAAAAAAAAAAAAAAAAAAAAATTACTCAAGAAAGAAACTAATAATAAACGAGATTCAGTTGCGCAGGTCGGCAAAGATCTATACTATCTAAAAGGCCGTCGTCGTGCTTACGTTAAGCTCGTTTCGCACGATGTATTCATCCGTCCACATTTGTGATTTATTCCCAGTGTACGTAAAACAACTAACGATAAACATACGTGTGTGTGTGTGTGTGTGTGATGGTGTTAGAATTTTGCACGTTTGCGCTTTCTCACGCAGCAAGAGAACAACGCTTTTTTCCTCAACAATAAAAAGGAAAAAGAAAAAAAAGAAAAGATCCTCCCTCTTTGGCCAAGCCTTGAAAAGATCCTTGGAGAGAAAAAAAAGAAAAAAAGAAATATCCATGATCGTTTCTCGCGGTTTCGAGCAAGAAAGAGAATAATCGTGCACGTTGTCGTCGCTCGCCAACAGTTTCGTTACCAAAGGCGCACGGCCTTGAATCGGCTATTAGATCAACCGTGCACCGCTTCATTGATTTTCTCCTCGTGCGCACCATGCACGCGTGTCCCAATGTCGAAACCGACCGTCGATACGTGTCTCCACGGCTCGTATATCGCTCGTTGTACGCGGTGTTCGAACATCGTTTCTTTCCGATCCGTGGAACAAGCGTGAATCAACGCGAGGCATGGTCGAAGGATTCGTCGTGACGAGCGAGATACGAGTTGTTTCGAGTCTTGGCGACGAAAGAGGTTCCAAAGGATTTATCAACGGGGATCTCTTTGTTAAAATTTCCTCGAATCCTTCCCCTTCAATTCCCTTGTCATCGGCTTGTAATGCACGGGATACTCGCACGGGAGAGGGGGACAATGGCCGGCGCGTGATGAATCAGAGGAATATTTTAAAAGTAGTTGAAAATATCGTCGTCGAGAATATCAATTGAGTTTAGCGAAAAAGTTTTACGACTCTTTTCTCTCTTTCGAAACATGTTGAAAAAAGAAAAAGGAAACGAAAGTAACGATTAGAGCTTGGAGAATGAAATAGAATAAACGTTTAATTTTTTATCGAGTATCCAAAGGCTCTTTGTAACGATTTAATTCCGTAAAGAAGTGAGAGAGGAAAGGGGGAGGGAATTATACGCGAGAATTCTTGTTTATTAATTTTTTTTTTTTTGAAAAATGAAGAATCGGCTGGATTTGGACTAATTTTCGCTGTATTTCGAGCCCAAGTATCATCCAATGGAAGATGATACGCATCGCGTTCTGAAACTAATACCAGTTATTTCTGGCTCGACGAAAGAATAGAGCTTGATTTTTCATCCGACGAGAAAAGAAAAATTGTAGACGCGGCCCGCGATAATACCTTTATTCGCGGATGCAAGAATTACAGGTTTGCCTGCGAGCGGATGTTCCGTGCATTACCTACGTAACCATCAAGATCACGTTTCGTTTTGATTTTTGAACGAAGGGAAATTTTCTTCAACGAAAATCGCATCGTTCGAAAGATATTTACATACACGCTTTTTCTTCTTCTTTCCCCCTCCCCCCCCCCACCGAGTGATTAATTTGCAAAGCGATAAGATCTTTCTATTGAGAAGAGAGAGAGAGAGAGAGAGAGAGATGGCGATGTAAAAATTGAAAAACGATTTGCAGTTTATTATGAGGAAAAGGCAAACGAGGTTTAACTATGGCGAACGATGCCGACCAGTGTCTTTGGACGCTTACAGCCTTGACAGTGTTTCCGCGTACAACAGCGTCAGACGCAAAGGAGTGGCGAGGTCTTCGAAAAGAAGCTATGGGAATCCGACCTTCGAAGATTCGGTGAGTTTCGTTGCCTCCTCGATTTCGTAAGAATTCTAAAAGATAAAAATTAATACTAAATGATAGATTTACATAGAATTAGCGAGCAATAACGAATAAAAAATTTTGTTAAAAGACACGTTTTTGACAAGAAGATAACAAATGAATTTTATTTATTTGAGTTTCAATTATTTGTGAAAAAAAGAATAATATATAAATAAATCTAAATCTGGGTAATTATTTTTTAAATTAGCAATTTTGTTGTAAGAGAAAACGAATTCGAAATTATAGGATTATTATATTGTCTGTATATAATAATTAATAATCATCTCGTATATAAATATAAAAATATATATTTTTTAATTGTATCCTAGCCAAACATATTCTTCTGTTTGTAGCCAACGTTTAACACGTTCTTGTAAATATAAGTTAATTATTCAGGTAATAAAATTGTTTTTCAGTAGTACCTTTTTTTTTTTTTAACAAGTTATTGTAAAATGTAGTATATATTATAATGTAGTCGTTGTTATTTAGAACACACACTTTTAAAATACTTGCTACGACACCACGTATTGTACCCGTTTACGTATTTCTAAACCTCTTTTCACGTTATTTTATTTAATCGAAAGAAAAAAAAAAAAAATACCTATCATTTCAAAGTTAAAATCAATCGAGAAACATCAATGTGTTCGTGTATAGTAGGTTTGCAAGAAATGAAACGATGCGATAAAATTTAAAATTAATCGAGTTTAGTGAAGCGTATCCCGAGGATGTCTACGTCTTTCGATATTGCAAATAATCAAAAAAAAAAAAAAAAAAATAATTAAAGATCGCCCAAAGATCAGACTCGATGAAACTATTGGAGCAATTTATCCTTTAATCTCACGCTTATGAAGATCGATAATCGGACATCCGAAGAATCCGCTCGACTCCGTGAGCCACGTAAGGATCGAGTTTCTAGAAAACGGTTTCTGTCCACTTTACAGAGCGCAATACCGTCTCACCCGTTGAATTTCGCCGGGCTTTCATCTTTCTGCAACGACATTAACGCAATCAACGAGGAATTCGCCGGTATCCCCCAAGTTTCGGCCAAGATAGACGAGCTACCCGCCGGAGCGGAAGTGAAGAACAGGTACGCGAACGTGATACCGCTTCCGGAGACAAGAGTGCTCCTTCAAAAAATCAACAACGATCCCCTTACCGAGTACATCAACGCCAGTTACGTTCGGGTGAGTTCAATTATTTACTTGTTATTTAATCGTCCATTCCTTGCCCATTGCCTTTGCCTTTGCTCTATTTTACAGGGAATTTTCGCGCAATTTCGAAAATTTTCATATAGGATAATTAACACGTTCGTCGCCATATATGGGTGACGCTTTCTTGTTCAAGAAAAATAAGATTTTAACTCTTTATACTTGTGTTTATATTTTAGAGAAGGTTATCAATCAAGTAAGAACAATATTTACATTAATAAATATATGTATAATAATTGAAATAGCGATTAGGATAGCGATTATATGGCGAGATATGAATGCAATGAGTTAAAGCGGAATTTTAAAAGAAATTTAATGGAATAAGCAATGAAATGTACTTTGGGATCACAGAATTTAAAATTTAAGAACAATAAAAACGGAATAGAGGGACAAGCATGATCTATTAGCGAACCACTCTGCATTTTTATACAATTTTAAATCTAAAATTACTGTATATGGTAACATAGGGTGTTGTTACGTATTTCCACCGATAATCGAGTTGAAGTTGGACAGCCAATTAGAGGCTTATATCATTGAAAATACTTAAGATTGAAGTAGAGGTACTGAAAACAACTAATTCAGGTGTCACAGAATTAATGAAAACTAACAACTGACTAAATTTTATTTTAAAATATATAAAATAAAAATATTAAAACTACTTTCGGTTATCGCTCTTACGGCTTTCCAACAGTAACATTTTGGGACCTGTGAGCAACTCAACGAAATCACACTGGACAACACATGTGTTTTGAAAAATGTGTTGGAACGATATTCTAATCTTTTAATTAGAAAATTCCTAAAGATATCTCATTTGTTTTCTAGCAATTAGCCTCGTGATCGCGTCGTTTGCCCGAATTTACAATCTTTCTTATCACTTTTCCCCATTCGTCCCCTCCGTCTCTAAAAAATTTAACGCTTAATCTCGGAAAATCGGTTTAATAAATGCGGCGAGGTCGGCGATTTAACAATCGCACGCGGTGTGTAAAGTTTACACGCGGTATTTTGCCTGCGTGAGAAAAGGATGTTGCATAATGCATCGCGAAGAATGAGTATTGCATAAGGCGATCGAGGCATGGCAATATGCGGAAGCGGGGCGGACGTTAACACCTGTTTCCACCGAGCTATTAAAGGATTTAAATAATGCAGCGGATAGAAACGATGATCGAGAACAATTCGTTTTTAACATGGTCGAAATCAAATTGAACCCAATCTTATTATAATTGCTCACGATTTAATAATTACGTTCGTTTTTACGTACGCCGATCTTCCGATTTTTTTTTTTTCTTTTTAATCCTCCTTTCCATCGCGAGCTATTCGAGTAAGTTGGAAAGAATGATCGAAGAGAAAAATTTTTTAAGAAATAACCCCGATAAAAAAATTGATTTTAGTTTAGTTTTAATAAGCTTCGTTTCGTACGTTGGTGCGTAATTTTAATGCGCGTCGAACGTTGACAAAGGGCAACGTTCTAGGACTTGCAATTAGCACCGTTCCTTGCTGATCGATATTATCGATTGATATCGTATCCGTATGCACAATGCAATTATTGAATATGTTAATTGATTCTAACTGTAATCGATCGGCTCGAAATACGAGGGAGCTAGCTCTCTCTAATTTTAATTGGATTAGAGTTTCGTTGATTTAATTTCGAGCTTGATCTTTTTCTGATGTATCGATTTACGTTCCGATTTCCAGGGGCCAAAGAACGCGACGAAATATTACGTCGCTTGCCAGGCACCGATGGACTCGACCGTCACCGACTTTTGGAGGATGATATGGGAACAACAGAGCAAAGTGATCATCATGCTTACCGACCTCGTCGAAAACGGGGTGGAAAAGTGTACGGAGTATATCCCGCCCTCGGAGATCACCGATTGTCGTCGGTTGTATGGCGATTTTCAAGTTACTCTGAAGAAGAGGGAAACCAAAGAGAAATATGCCATTTCCACGCTCCATTTGAATGTAAGCGATATGGGAAAAAGCACGATGGAAAATTTTTCTAACGTTTGCAAAAATTATATTATTATTATTATTATTATTCTCTGTTATATGGCAAATATACGTCAAGGTGTCGGATAATATATTATGATATAAAAAAATATGATAAAAATATTTATGACCGACAATTTTATCCAATAATAAAATTAGTTTCAATTTGAAACACATGCGTTAAATCCACGCATCGCCAATTTCTCTTCGATCCTAAAACACTCTTGTTATACACTCCTCTCTCCCTCCTGCTTTAAAACCCAGTTACGCTATAACTCACTTTAACTCACGTTAAATCACTTCTTCGCTCAACTATCCTAACGCGATGTAGCCTCATCAACCGGTATGCCCGGCCATCATTATCGCGCAATCGACCGTTTAAAGAACCAGTCGCGTCACTGGAACCAAGCGCGACCACTGAAAATCTCAACTGTAATAATTGTGATCGATCGACGTGTTAACGCATAGTGTTTTCGAATGTATTCAGATCGAAACGAATTAAAAAAAAAAAAAAAAAAAAGAAAGAAAGAAAGAAAAAACATCGAATCTTTTGCCGTCGAATTCGATTTGGAAAGTAACTAATTGATTGTTTACAGAATTTGGAGAAGAACACGTTCCGAGAGGTATACCACATTTGGTATTTGTGGCCCGTGAATGGAGTGCAATCGGACGGTGCCGGGTTGATAGCCGTGCTACTCGAGGCGAGGGCACTTCAAAGGGGTGGCCCTGGACCCATTGTAGTCCACTGTAGTCCCGGCACTGGACGCACGGGAACGTTAATAGCTCTTGACCTAGGAATTAGACAATATGAGATTACGAGGACTGTGGACGTGCCAAGGGTCGTTTACACTATCAGACGGGATCGTGCTGGGGCTGTCAAGACGAAAGAACAATACGCTTTCATTTACAAGGTAATTTAGTTTTTAACTTGACCCGACGTTTCCTTCCAATCGTTCATTTCATTTATTCGTTTCGATTGGTCCGTGCATTGTGCATGCACTGATCTCACAGAATGGAGAGTGATTCTGCGTGATTTATCGACCGAACGATAGGAGCCGAAGGATTTTTGCTTAATTGTTTATCTACGTGAAATACATTTGTATCCTTTCTTTCTTTCTTTCTTTTTAAATTGTGCTCGTTGTGTCAGAATATTGAACGAAAATTTCTCATTTTCTTCTTTTTTTCTTTTTTTTCAGGCATTAAATTTATACGCGACCAAACTTGCCGGTGGTGTATTGGAATCTACGTGAACGACTCGAGATCGTAAAGAAATTACCATTCGTTCGGATCGTAATAGATATGTAAGTCGTGGCAGAGAACTGCTATATCCGTGAACGATAAATATCATTGAAGACGATGGAAGAACCGCGAGATTATAAGTTCCAGCGTTACCTGGACAGGAAAATACGGTAAATTGAAGGAAGGAAATTGACTTGTGATACGTGGACCATAGCGAAGATCGTGTTTCGCTTTAGATTTTTGCTTAGATCCTTTCGACGTAAGACGATTTCACGCTAGTAAATTTGAAAAAAACATTCTTTACCATCTGTTTGTCTATTCTTCTCGGTTGATAATTCAGTTTTTTTTTTTTTAAGTATCGTCGTTCGATAAAATAAAATTTTCTAAAATTTTTTTGTAAACTAATCTTTATCGTAATTTATGTAATAAGAAATTTACACAAGTGATATTTATAATTAAGGTTTAAAAGAAAACGTTTTAAAAAATATACATGGAGTAATAAGAGATGATCACAGAGTATCTATAAAATTGTATTTATTTTTGTTTTAAGATGTAGAAATGAACAGGATAACTCGAACAATACGAAATTATAATAATAAAATAATATATGAAGTTCTGAAAATATCAATTTATACAATTTTGTACTTTAATAATTATACTTAATATTTATCTGTAAAAATTAATAAATCGATTCAAGTTTAAATTAAAATGTCATATGAGCCAAAAAATAAATCGTTAAATATGTATTTAAAAGAGCAAATATTAAAACGATTACTTTGTTCTAAATACGTATATCTTAATTGAGAAAGAAAGAGAGAAGGACAAATAAGATGGTAACACGTTGGATAATGAATAATCGAGAGGCGGGAATTAATTTGTGATATCCGGACCATCCGTCAACGATATATTCAATTTTGTATTTCTTAGGCCTATTCGATTTCATAAAGCTTTTTTTTTTTTTTAATCATAGATTTAGTCTCCTTTTCGTCAATTTTAATATACATATATATATATATATATTGCATATATATATATATAAATAAAAGGATAATTAGATGTAGTTGGATATTTAAAAGTAATATCGGAATATGTCAGTCATATACGAAAGGATTTGTTCTTTTCAATCAAACGGAGTATTCGCGCGACAATGAACAATTTGAACGGCCAAAATGAATCGTGATGATTTGTAAAGGAAAAAGAGAAATAAAAATGAAAAAAAAAAAAAAAAAAAAAAAAAAAAGTAATAACAATTCCTTCGAGAATTCAACCATACGTGTATTTAGCGTCGTTCTTAATCATGTAAAAAGGAATAATATACAACGTGTACGTATTAATTATTATTTAGAATTACAATTATTTACGTAATGTTACATGTCTCCAAGGATCCGGAAAGGATCGATTTCATCTTTTTTCTCTTTTCTTCTCCCGGACAATTTATAGAAACATATTATAAACATAATATATATATATATACACATTATTATTGTATTATTGTTATTATTGTTATTGTTGTTGTTGTCATTGTACAAATATTTTGATTCGTAGCAGGTTGCTCTCTATAATTGTACATAGAAACCAACCGGAAAATACACCGAGTAAATTAGTCTTATCGTTAGATTTTCCTTAAGAATTTCGTTTTCTTTTTTTTTTTTTTTTTGAAACGTGTCATTTAATTCTCGTCGTATACGTGCTCGTCGCCAGCCGCCATTTCTCTCACTTTCTTCTCACACGGCTTCGAACACGTTTGAGGAATGCGAATTGAGAATTATCCCATAAATTTTGTCGGTTTCGCTGAATGCCGTTGCTCCTGCGAAATGTCAAGCATTTTTTCGTTCTTTTTTTTTTTTTTTGATCGTTTGAAAACAATCACGGGCGATGCGACGAACATAAACGATCGGTTTAATGATTCATCGTCAATTTATACCGGTTATTTCTGACCGGCGAGACTTCTTCGCGAGCGTGGCTCGAGAAATGGATTCTTTTCGTCGAGGATTAATTTATGCGCGAAACAAGCTTTGTGATTCAGGTTTTTGCTCGATATTCATAAAACGAAACGATTTTTTTCTTTTTTGTTATTTTCCGTATATTTAAATCATTGTATGAATAATGTACGCGTATGTGATTAATTCTTTTGTTAAAAGTAAATATTTTGTCTTCTATTTTGTAGAACAATTGCAATTGATCTTATATATGGACTGTAATATGATGTGTTTTTTAATTTGGATTTTAATCTTGGCCTTAAAAAGAAAAAAAAATAGACAAAATATTTATTTTGCGTGAACATTTGCAGAGAACTGACGTATAATTATATAATTATATATATATATATGTGCCTAGAATTTTAATTGTACATAACTTAAAAATTTTAATTTAATTCTCCGTTTATGTTTTAAAACTTTTATCTTCAAATCTGAATTAAAAAGAAAGTATATTTTTTTATGTTTATTTATCACTTGTCCGAATATGAAAATTAATAAAAAAATGTTTAAAATAATCAAACAATTTTAAAATCAAATTACAACAATATCAAAATACATGTACGAAATTTTACAAATTTCAATTAACTTTAAAGCAATTATTGAAATATTAAAATATATAACGTGTTTAAAGACACAATTAAAAAAAAAAATATGTAATAATAAATCGACAAAATTTGTGGAATAATACAATCAATGTGTTTTACAACACGTTTTATGAAATTTAGAATAGACGCACTTCCCTTATATAAACCAAAATTATCCCTTACTCGAAATCGAACGATTTGAATCTACGAAATGTGATGAATAGAAGAAACATTCGACCACGTATGAAAACGGAAAATAAAACCAGGAATACAGGGTTAATTCGTAGTTTCTAATTCGAACCCTCAATTTAGACACTATATAATAATAGCATCGATTAATTAACATTTTTATAGTATTGTAATTTGATAATTATATTATAGTTGAAAGAATACGAAGAAGCTCGTGATACTCGATTTTTATTAAAATATTGTCGAACAAAGACGATAGAAATATTTCATGTATCGTAAAAAATTTAATACGCTTCGAAAACGACACGAACATCGAACATTTATCGCGATCGAAATTGAATTACAGTGACAATTTACACGTGTAAGAGCACACAATTATTCTCGCCAATATTTTATACAGTTTCGTGCGAAAGCCGTTATTGGAACAGATCTAACTGAATTTTAATCAAAATAATATAATATTTTGAATCTTTTATTTTAATATTGTTGTTTGTGAAATATGAACAATATTAACGTTCAACATTGAAATTAAAAGATTACTATTTTGTGGTGAAAAAATTGTAATTTCGGAAAGAAATATCGTATATGATAATAATCAATCCGGACTCATTTTAAAGAACGAAACTTTTATTTTTATCTTACTTACTCACTTGAATTGTATTTTTCTAACATATTTTTTCCTAAAATCACAATAGTTCAAATATCGATAATTTTTCGATCAAAATTTATAAGTCATTCTTCAATTTTGTAAATTTCAACAAAGAAGTATCTCTCAAATTTATGGATGTTCTTAAATAACATTATTGGAGATAATGTGAAATAATTATGAAATAAATTAGCATGCTATTTCATAAATGATATTTCATCAATAAATTTGGTGGATTCGAGCAAAACATATTCGACGTGTCGCTTCTTCGAAATAAAAACTTTTTCGTCACTACTTCGTAATCTTCTATTCCAACTTTTTCATTCAAATATAGATTGTTACACGATATTGTAAATCACAATAATGCATAAACATTTGCCATAAAATAAAGAATTAGATATATTCAGAGTAATTACGTTAGAAATCTTTATAAAGATTTAGCAGATTTACTGATTAAACATTGTATCTAGAGTAAAAAGAAAAGAAAAAAAAAAAAGAAAATTTACAAAGAGATAGGAATATAAGCGTAATGATCTCATTTGCTGACAAAAGCAATGGAACGAAACGTGAATTCTCGGAAAATTCTTCGGGGTGAGTGAAGGACAAACTTCGTGCGACGCCATTGTTAATTAAGAAAATGGTTTTGCTTTATTACCGAGAATAAAACCTATTTCCAGTATAAACAATGCGACGTATCTAAGCGTTGAAAAATCATATATCTCTGTTTCCCTGAATAGTATTATTAATAATGCAAGAATATGTATCTCGTAATTGAAATATGTTAGGATTTTTGTCTTACTTAACGATATAATCGCTAATTATTAATTCGCAATCATTGTGACCATATAGAAGATTCTGTGTGTGATATCGTTCTATGTGTAATATCGAACGTGGGAAAAATTCGGAAAAATTATGATTAAAACCAGTGTTAATGCGCCAAATAAATCTTATTTAACTATATTAATCGTTAGAGAGAGAACAGATTTCGTATTGAGTTGTTCTTTCAATGCTGTCCACCATTCCTTTCTTTCAATGTAATCATTGAATTTCATTAATATTTTTAATAAGCGAATTGAAAATTCTTTAATATTCTTTTTTTTTTTTTTTTAATCTTTATTAATTTTTCACCGAATCTTGATTACCCGATCCATTTAATTAAAAGCATAAAATGTTTAGAAAGGACACATTTTACAGAACAACTCTGTGCGTGTAACAATCGTACCAAAAATGATAATTAATATTTAATTATATATAAATGTTCTAATAAAAATACTATAAGAGGAATATGTATGCTTAAAAAAAGTTAGAAAAAGATTTCCCTTCGTAACGAATCCTTCGAGAATGAACGTGTAGAATTATTCAGAAAGAAATCAGGAAGAAACGAATGTACGTGTGTCAATGTGTATGCCTATCGACGTATGTTATAAAACCATATGTGTAATTATACGATAGAGATTGAAAATTGACGAATAAAACATGATAATGGTGATCAATCGCATAATTATTGCAACAATTACATCAAATGCATTTCCATTGCTGGATCAACAAAATAAATGTAATTATTCCACATGTGTTTTTGTTTTTCCAATCTTTTGTTTCATATAAAACAAATACATACTTTTTTCATGTAAAATATGAATATTTATTAATTTACTATATACACTAACTTATTTACTTCAAATAATTTTGTATACAAAAATTTTAACAAAATTGTAACAAAAATACACGAACTAATTTATTAACAAAAGATGCATTGAACTCAATCAGTTACATTATCCAAAATTTCGATTGTAAACGATAGAGCTAAAAGCTATAATCGAGACTCCATCAATCTCGATACAATATAATTTCTTTTCTTAAATTTATCTCTACTTGTTACTTAATTTATTCTGTTACATATTATTATATTATATGAAAATACAACTTATTAACAAAGAACGATACAACATTACCATTGTACAAACTCGAACGGTACCGTATTTGCCATCCGAAGTTAATTAAATTTGAAAAATTTTTTTTATCTTTCGTCCTTGATGCAATTTGGAAGAATAAAAATGGAACCAAAATACCAAAATACTAAAGTTCTATATGTTTGTATTCATCGTCATAGTATGACTATGAAGTTCTCGCTTGAATAGTTATATCTAGTAGCACAGATATTACTAACGAGAGTCGCAGTAGCCTCCTAGCGGCATGCTCGGTACTATCGGATCAACGCATAGTCGATCAGGGTAGCTACAAATTTGCTATCCACGAATAAACCACGTACGAGGGTTGTTCAAGGATTATATATCCTTTGGGGTCGCTGACTAGAAGATATTACGAATTTATGGTACATCAATCGTTATCGAGGAAGAGGGGAAAGATATTGAAGGTGCGGATAGTCAGCAGAAAATACAGAAATAATGATCGATTTTGTTGTTCTATCTTTTTCTTAAATAAAGTAAAATATAATATAAGACTTTTAAATTGTTAAAGTGAATATTACCTGTTTTAATCCAACTCATTGAACTAATTATTAAACTAAAATAATATTTTATTTTCAAACGCATAGTAAGAAAGATATTACAGATAGTATTTTCTAAATTTTAAATTTCAATTTCAATTTTTTTTTATACTGTAATACAATAATTAATTATTTATTATTAAATGTTAATGCATTATTTATAAAAGTAATAGAAAAATATATGTTTCTGTTATTAATAAAAAAAATTCTTTTCAGATAAAAAAAATCAGTCCGATGAAAATTAATGAATGTAATTTCACATATCAAGGATACATTCTTATGTAATTCTTTTGTTACTTTCATATTTGCAAATTATTCTTCTGAGAATTAAATTTATAAAAAACAGAAAATTCAAAACCTAAACGATTATAAAAACCAAGCAATTTTTAGCATCTAATTAAAAATAATATTTACAGTACATTGAAAGAGCTTTAGTTTTTAACCGTGTTATTTTTAACCAAGTATATCGCAAATACAACGTTTATAAAACATAAAGAATTATCTACAGCATCAAAATTTACGAATTAAAAATTATAATATACATTGCATCCTTTCTTATCAATTTTTCATTCCTAGCAATATAATTTTTTACATAAATTTAAAGATCAAGTAATATTATATCATCAAGTCTTAAAGTTTATGTTTTTAATAACATTTGTAAATTTTATACATTGAAAATATCATCTCCTTATCATCATTTTCTATCTTTGCGCATTCATTAACTTTTGAATGACTCATTCCCAATAAGATATTCCAGAATTTTTATTTTTCAATACAATTGCTTAGTGACATGAAAATTTTAAAAAATCTTATTATCGAAGATATTCAGATACAATTATACAAAAAATTATAAATAAATATCTTTAAAAAATATTGAATGAAACAGAATTTTTGCAAAATCAGTTCATGATTTTACGTAATGTCTCGTGAATATATTGGCAACAATTTCGTTTAAAAAAAATATATAAAATAATATACAGTATCTTAAAATATTAAATTTTAACTATTCTATTATAATTATTTTAGAAATAACGTAATAAAATTCATATTAAAAACACACGTGGAATCGCACTTTAATTTATTGATTTCTAGAAACGATACTTCTATAGAAACATATATTATTTCGCTGGAAGATGAGTTTTTTTTTTTTCGTTAATAATAATTCTACTACAGATTATAGAATAATTTTATATTATATTATTCATACGAAAAAAAAAACGATAAATCAAAATTAAATAAAAGCAAAATTTTCATTGTTATTTGCATTTTAATTTGAAAACTTTTCGAGTAACTCATTCTCCAATGGTATCCTCAATACACGAGGCACAAATATACGTAAAATTATG